CATATGCTGTCGGAGTGGTAAGTCAGTTCATGCACAAACCACAGAAGGAACATTGGGATGCAGCTATCCGAATTGTGAGATATCTTAAGGGGACCATTAATATGGGAGTTACATTTAAAAAACATGGTCACTTAGATATTCAAGCCTACACAGATGCTGACTGGGCAGGGAATCCAAACGATCGAAGATCCACTTCAGGGTATTTCACCTTTGTTGGAGGTAATCTGGTCACATGGAAAAGCAAGAAACAAAAGGTAGTTGCTCTATCAAGCGCAGAAGCAGAATTTAGAGGTATCGCTCGAGGAATTACCGAAGTTCTTTGGCTAAGGAAACTCCTTAAAGATTTGGGGTATCCGCCAAAGGGAAAGTGTATACTGATGTGCGATAATACCGCTGCTATTCGTATATCAGAGAATCCGGTACAACATGATCGTACCAAGCACATCGAGATTGATCGTCACTTCATCAAAGAGAAACTCGAGGCAGATATCATCAGTCTTCCATATGTCCGATCTGAAGATCAATTGGCAGACATTCTCACAAAAGCAGTTCTGGCTGAAGTCTTTCAAGCAACATTAAGCAAGTTAAATATCCGGAACGGATGATTCAACTTGAGGGGGAGTGTTAGAAATGTCAAACAAAGGAATAGTGTCAAACAAAGGAATTGATTGTAATATCTTGATAATATCCTTGATTGGAATCAAATTACCAATCAAGATATTTGATTAGGTTCCAATCACCTTCCTTAATTGTCCTCTTTATGTAATTTGTAATATTTATAGACACCAAGTGTGATGTATTCAAATAAAAAAAGATGAATATTATGCTGTGAATTCATTCTAATATTTCTAATAATTATGCTTTCATACATTTCAGGGCCTCTACAGAGGTGATAAGAATAATGAGATGATCCTTAACATGTGTTCACGAAGCAATGATGTTGTGGAACATCTGATTAAGCCTCAATGGTATGTGAACTGCAAAGATATGGGCAAGCAAGCTCTCGACGCTGTCACAGATGAAGAAAACATGAAAATGTATATCCTCCCAAAACAGTATACAGCTGAATGGAAGAGGTATTTGACAGTTGATCTCTGTCGAAAATGATGGGTAGTTGGTGTTATTCAACAAATTTATCTAACTTGACTCTTGGATTTTTGGTTTATCTTCAAAGATTAAATGTAGATTCAATAGGCCTAGTTTTTGTATCATGTTTTAGCCTTGTACCCACACCCTCCCCATACCCTGCTTTCGAGTAGGGGTAAGATCTGCACACACACACCCTCCCCAGACCTTCGTGGGATTCTACAGGGTTGTTGTATTTGTTTTAGCTTTGTACATACCCCCCGCTTCATGTAAAGCAAGCTGAAAAAAGTATCATGGGTTTTAGAATTACAGCCATTACTCTGCTCTACTTTGTGTTATATTAATGTTGAGGTCTGACCGGTCATCTTCAATCCAAGTGAAAATGTGCGATAGTCTTTAAGTAAATTGACTCGTCTTTAAATTATAAGTTTCTTATTTTGTTTATCATTGACTATATTTGTTGATATTCGAAAGGATTTAATGCTGCAGATGGCTTGAGAATATTCGTGACTGGTGCATCTCACGGCAGATTTGGTGGGGTCACAGGATTCCTGCTTGGTATGTGACTCTAGATGATGATGAACTGAAGGAATTTGGTTCATATAAGGATCACTGGGTTGTCGCCAGAAATGAGCAGGAGGCACAAGAAGAGGCCAGCAGGATCTTTGGTGGACAAATATTTCAGCTTTCTCAGGATCCTGATGTTCTGGACACATGGTTCTCTTCTGGGCTTTTCCCATTATCTGTGTTGGGCTGGCCTGATGATGCTGAAGACTTGAAGGCATTTTACCCCACTTCTGTCCTTGAAACTGGACATGATATTCTCTTTTTCTGGGTAGCTCGTATGGTCATGTTGGGAATTAAGCTAGGAAGCGATGTTCCATTCAGAAAGGTGGAGTAAACACAATCTGCTGCATGCGTATCATCATTGATTTTTTTTGGATGTGTTCTCATAATTTGTGTATAGGGCTTGGGGGTATCTCACTCATCAATGCATATTTCTTTATAATCTCTATTTTTCTGTTTCAGTTCATCTAAGTGGGGTGTGGGGAATAAAAATTGAGTAACTACGAGCTTGTTCTCTTCGTCTTATCTGATTGGATTTGTGGTTTTATTAAGGTCTGGTCTGATATGTTTGTAGTTATATTTAAAGATGTTTCTGATTTGGTCTGATCTGATTCTAATAAGAATAAGTTGAAGAGAACAAGCTCTACGTGATGACTCAATGCATAGAAAATTAACTGGATGCCAGATGTGACAAAACTTAGATTAATATTCTCAGTAATGCCAGCAGCACTAGTTAGATTTCATGCTAGTTAGAATAATGGAAAGTTGGCAGGTCTATCTGCACCCGTTGATTCGTGATGCCCATGGACGCAAAATGTCCAAGTCCTTGGGGAATGTGATTGATCCTCTTGATGTCATCAATGGGATTACGATTGAAGGACTTCTGAAGAAACTGGAGGAAAAAATGAAGAAAAGAGACTTGGACTTGAATAAATTAAAGGTTGCTAAAGAGGAACAGAAGAAGGAATTTCCTAATGGTATTCCTGAATGTGGTACTGATGCTCTTCGTTTTGCTCTGGTTTCATATACAGCTCAGGTTCAATGGCTCTCGACATCGTTTACCTTGTCTTCCTTCGTTTGGCAATATTTATCTCTGAAATTTCCTTTTTTCTTTACAGTCTGATAAAATAAATCTTGATATTCTAAGGGTGGTTGGATATCGTCAATGGTGTAATAAGTTGTGGAATGCTACAAGGTTTGCCATAAGCAAGCTCAGAGATGATTACACTCCTCCACCAGATATAGTCCCAAATATAATGCCATTTAGCTGTCAGTGGATACTATCGGTTTTGAATAAAGCTATTTCAAGAACTGTGTTATCTTTAGATGCATATGAATTCTCTGATGCAACAACTGCTGTTCATCAATGGTGGCAATATCAATTGTGTGATGTGTTCATTGAAGTTATTAAACCATACTTTGCTAATAGTGATCCAGAATATGACTCTGCAAGAAAATATGCCCAATATACTCTGTGGGTTTGTTTGGATAATGGTCTGCGTCTGCTTCACCCGTTCATGCCATTTGTAACAGAGGAATTATGGCAGCGCCTCCCTTCAAGTAATGATTACAAGAAAGAATCCATAATGATATCAGATTATCCATCCCCATAAGAGGTGAGATCCCTCTAATCTGTTTACATTTATCAAAAACAATGTGCAGGCATGTTAGTGTCGAATCATATTCCCCAAGCTTTTAGTTTAAGGAGGAGAAATAATTCCATGGCTCCTCTGTTTATGTGGAGAAAACATTTCTCTATTGATTAATAAGCAAATCAAGCTTATCAAACTAAATTGCAGCTTTTCCAAAAAAAAAATAAATTAAATTGTTTCTTTCATCTGTACAAGATACATGACATGGTATGTAATACACTAATACTACGTAGTATCCATCTGCATGGTTCTCGGTCTCTCTCGGCTTTCTTTGTCCATGTCCGGGTTCCTCTTCGCTTTCTTTTTAGTATGCCTAAGAACTCTTTACTCTTCCATTTTACCTAGTATTCCAACGGCGTCCTTTGGTCAACAAATGCATGAAATTTTCCAATTTCCTGTACACCTTTTTTTTTTTTTGAATTCTGTACACTGTAATTAAGATTTTGAATCCAACTTTACTGCAGACATGACATTCTTCCTGTCATTTATTAAACACACTGTAATTAACAGGTCCCAGAAATGACTCTTTTTTCTTGTAGGAACTACAGTTAATTATTTTTAATGATATGGGATGTCTTGCCTATATTGTTTTTAGCTGCTGATCTTGAAATAATTTCGAACTGTTTTATTGAAAAACCCAGGATTGGAGCAATGAAATTGTAGAATATGAGATGAAATTGGTCGAATCTGTCGTGAAAGAGTTGCGGTCAATGAGATCTTTGATACCTAAGAAGGAAAGACTTGAGAGGTGATTTCCCCGAACATATCTGTTACACTGATTTTTGTTTCACGATGGCATAACAATGAACTACCCCCATGACTTTTTCTTCATGTATTTTTCTTTAAGGAATAATGGCTTATTACAAGGTATGCTGTAGTTGGTTTGTGCTAACATCTAACAGAGGATGCAAAGAAATTTATGTTACAATCTTTGAACAGATATTTTCCATGCAATGCTTCACCAAAGTTAATCTCTTTCCTCAGTGAAATTGCTATAGCTACTTTGGAGACTATCCTGTTTGATGTTTGCCTAACTCTTCGTCTCTATCCTATGTACACAAATTGACTTTTGGAGCTGCAGCACAAATTGAAAAGTCCAAAATGATGAGCTCACCCTTTTTTGAGATTAAATAATTTGTCTGTCATCAGAGCATTTCTAATAATTGAAATTTGACCTGTGTTCATGTGACAAGGCCTGTTTTTGGAGCATTGCCTCTAACTGAATCCTAGTTGTTTCTTCTCTGTATGTGTCGCAAATTGATCTTACATTGCAATTTGTCGAAGCCCTTTGTTATACTACACCCTGGAATAAAAATAAGCCTCCATCTTCAGGCGAGAAGCTTTTGTGCGTGGTCAAGTGAATGATGATGTAGAGATCATCAGAAAGCATGAGCTCGAGATTAGAACACTCGGCAACCTGTCATCTTTAGAGGTTTGTCCATTAATGTCTTAATGCACATTGGTTTTAAGATTCTTTGTGCTCATCCATTTTATTTGTCACTTTTTTGGTAGAGAACCATTTGAATGCAAATATGAATTTGGTACTGTATGTTGGTTTATAATTCTGTATTTCAGTTCATTCTTCTTGTCAATTTTTGGTAGGGATTGAACATGATAGTTGAGCGTGTATATCTATAGACACTGCTTATGTTGTGTATGGTATGGTCCAATGAGTTGTATTGTATGAATAATAATTTTAATCTCTCAAATTGACTTGTCACACTTACTTTTGAGATCTTGAAATTGTATTGACTTTCCAAAACTCTCCTTCTACACCATTCATCATCTTCTTCATCCTCCGCCACTGCTTCCTTTTCACCTGGATTAGTAGCTCCCTTCACAGCAGATGCCATCGACAAGGTTTTGAGAGCACTGTAGGTGGAGTCTGCAAGTGGAAGTGAAATGAGAGAAGGGTTGGGAATTTGCTTAGGTTTCCGGTGTAGATAAGTCATTTAGCACTAAACATTTTACCAAAATGGGAAATAGAAAGAAATTTTTCAGACAGAGGGAGCAGTTCATTGTAACATGTTTCCTAAGTACCATCTGTGTCCTGTGTTTTGATATACTGAACTACAACTGACATGATGCAACACAACTGGTTAGCATACTTGTGGGGTTGGCTAGCTCTAACATGCGAAAGAGGAAAGTGAGAAGGCACTGAGTGAGATTTTATTACTATAGAAACAAGATTCAATTTTAGACATTCTTGTGCTAATTCAAGTTATCTTTGGTATGTTGATCACTGAAATGTACTGGTCAGCCTCTAGGAGTTTTACATTTTGTTCATGCAATTTGCACCCTCCATCGTCTTGCTTCTCTCTAAAGTCTAAGTATATTTTTTTTTCCAATTCTTGTAGTCTTATTTCCTCATCTGATTGAATTCTCTGGCTGGGCGCATATATGTTAAGCCCTTTTTTTTTGCTCGTTGTTCATGAGATACAATATAAGGTTTTAAAGGTCGTGAGTGATTGTGCCCAGGTTTATGCCAATCTGCTTCATATGCACTTATTAATGTGTTTTTCAATTGAGTCTGTAATTTCTCTTGGTATAATGGGTGCAAATTTTGTCCAAATTTCCTTTACCATCCTCTTGTTCATATGCTTCATTGGGATTTTATGGTTTATGTCATCCCAGGTCCTAAATGAGAACGATGGTGTTCCGGCTCGATGTGTGATAGGGTTTGTCAACGAAACACTTTCTGTTTTCCTCAAGACACAAGGGACCATTGATGTGGACGCCGAACGTGAAAAGCTAAAGAAAAAGATAGAGGATATCAAAAAGTGAGAGTCACTTTAGCACCATTTCCTCTAGTAACTTAATGGAGCAATTGACTCATCATTATTTTTACTTCGTTTTTTCTAGGACGCATGATAACTTGTCTAGGACAATGTTGCTAGGCTTGCATCTTACTTGCAAGAACTATGCTCATTGGAGGAGGTAAGTAAGCACCTTGGCCTTGAAAGCACTAATGAATCATTCTAGATGGAGTTAACTATTTAGATCAAGCTTAATTCTTTACAAAAGTGCTAAAAACCCACTAGGTTTGACACCAAGTGTTTCATAGACGCACAAACAATGATTGTATGTGAATTTCTGTGAAACATTTGGCCTTAAACTCTTGGTGTCAAATTTGGTGGGTTTCTAGCATGACTCTATATTTAAATTAATTGTTTATTTAATCAAATCATCAAATTAATAATAACAATCTTATCTTTAATTCTATGTAATGGTGTTGCCATGTCAGAATCATGCTAGTTACAATTTCAGAAGAGTGACAATGGCGTCACTCTTTGTTGTTTAATTAGAGTTTAGGTTTGAGGTTAAGGTATTTTAGAAATGCAAAGTCACACAAGCAGGAACAAATTTTATGCTTGTAAATAATGAAAATGAGATACTTGGTAAAAACTGGTAAACAAATTACTACGTACTAACAAGTACAACTAAAAGTTACTCTTTCCGTCCATAAATCTTTCCATTAGTCTTTTTTCTATCTCCCATATATTTTTTTATTTACCCTTTTAACATTTGAAATACTACAACTACCCAACAACTAATGGTAACTTATATTTGAATGATGTGAAAATTTATCAAAATACCCTTAATAAAAATGGATGGAGTGAAATAAAGGAGGGTGGTGAGATGTAATAATTAGAGCAAAGTTTGTGTGCATTCAAATATGGAGGGTTCATCGAGATTTTACGTTATAACTCTGAAATACAATTAATGAATCACTTGCTCCCAAATAATTTTTATATTCACATTTCACTTTCACCTTGTCTAATTTGTCCATTTTTATTCCACATGTTAATGAATTTTTTACTGAATGTTTTGATTGAGTTAAATGTGTAAGATTACTCATATGAAATAAAGTACGTAGTACAATGTGTATGCTTTAATGTTCGTATGGTATTAGGCTATATGGAATTATATTTCCCATCCCACTATTCACATTTCCAACATACAATGCCACATATTATGTTTATAATATTTTATTTCATTGACTCGTCATTTCTCACGGGTTACAGATAGTTGAAAATGTATAGTCTTATATCAAAATTGCTATTTCAAGGCCTTCAAACTCTCTTGTATTGTGAAGGGTCGTTAGATTTACCAATTACACAAGCCATGAAAAAAATTTGAAGTTGCTTATAGTTGCCGAAATAAGCTATTTTTTGCACATGCTAATGCAGCTTTGAAATTAGATACATCTTAAAATGGAAAATTTTATCTGTATAAGAGATAATTTTTCAGCATCAAATGATGCATTAGTTGTAAGGAGAGAGCTGAGAGAGAGAGACTAGCACAAAATTAAATGTTAGTTTAATTAAAAAAATGTGTAGTGACATTTTTTGTCAATGTAAATCATTACACTTGCATAAAATGTCGGTTATGTCTTTAGAGTACAAAATTAGATACAAATTTTAGTGTATAAATAGCTTAATTCTTTTTTGAGTAAATTCCCAAAATAGTCCTTTGTAATAAGGGATTTTCCCAAATTAGTCCTCAATAAGTTTTAATTACCTACATGGTCCTCTATAATTGAAATTTATTCTCAAAATAGTCTTTTGTAATGAGATATTTTCCCAAATCAGTCTTCAATAAGTTTTAATTACCTAGGTGGTCTTCTATAATTGAGATTTATTCCCAAGATGGTCCTTCATAAATAATGTTACTCAAATGAGGATTAATTAAGGTTATTTTTTCTCTGCTAAATTTAGAATTAATTTTTAAAATAATCATTTATTATGAAGTGCTTTCCCAAAATGGTTTTTCTAATTAAAGATGTGTATTTGATTTGAAATTTAAAAGATTTTTTAAGTTTTAAATAATTCATAAATTATTTATGAATAAAATTCTCAAAATGGTCCTTTGTAATAAGATGTTTTCCCAAATCAATCCTTGAATGAGGATTAACTGGGAGATATTTTGGTATTTTGATAATCCAAATTTAAAGTATATTTTTGAAACAATCATTTCTGTACAACTAAATGTAAAACTTAAAAAATACATTGAGTATAAATAATTTATGAATTATTTAAAACTTAAAAAAATCTTTTAAATTTCAAATCAAATACACATCTTTAATTAGAAAAATCATTTTGGGAAAGCATTTCATTATAAATGATTATTTTAAGAATTAATTCTAAATTTAGCAGAAAAAAATAACCTCAATTAATCCTCATTTGAGTAACATTATTTATGAAGGACCATCTTGGGGATAAATCTCAATTATAGAGGACCACCTAGGTAATTAAAACTTATTGAGGACTGATTTGGAAAAATATCTTATTACAAAGGACTATTTTGGGAATAAATCTCAATTATAGAGGACCATGTAGGTAATTAAAACTTACTGAGGACTAATTTGGGAAAATTCCTTATTACAAAGGACTATTTTGGGAATTACTCCTTTTTTTTATTAGCTTTCTTCTTTTTTGAATACTGCGTACAATAATATATGGAGTGTAGCTTTAATTATCTACTATGACCATTTTTTGTTCTTTATTTGACTTTAATGTTTACTTTGATTACAAATGAAATACGGAGTATAATTTTTACTAAATAAGAATTATAAAAAAATGATATATAAAGGAAAATTAATTTAAATAAATTCAATTGGGTTGGGAAAACTTTAAAATAATTGGGAGAAAAATGAGTTTTACTCATTTCAACTTTTGAGGTCTTGTTTCCAATTTTTTCAGTTTCAAGCAATTAATTTATTTTTTCTAACTCAATCTAACTTATTAAGATTAAATTTTGTTTCTTTCAACAATAATTCAAAAAATTTTAAATCATTACGGAAAGAAACTAAAATTAGTTTGAATGAATTGGATTGAGTTCGAAAAATACAAATAAGATAGAAGAAATTAAAAAATTAAAAATATTAGGAATACATTTATTAAAAAATTGAATAAGTATAATATAATTTGTACACTCTTTCTATCCTACAAAAGTTGTCCTTGGTATAAAAAAATTATTGTACATCAAATTTTTAAATTTTTTATTACAAATTATATTGAATATGTAATCAAAGTTAATATTAAAGCAAAATTAGGACAAATATTTTGAGAAGAAGGAAAAACAAAACAAAAACCAAAGTAGATAATGAATGCTACTCCACATATATTGTACGGAGTACTAAAAAAATAATGTCATGCGTGGCACTCAAAGAAGCATGAGACAGGGGAGGAGGACACGCGAATGGATGGAGTAGGTGTACAGCTGGCAAAACGGTCAGTCACGTCGGTTTTTTGTTCGATCACCTTGGGTTCAGGTTACTTCGAATTCAGGTAAGTTCGGGTTCGGATTTGGAGCTACATGTTCATGACCCAATGTCATTGGGTACGGGTCGACCCAATGAGTTATAACTTTCATTTATTTTTTAGAAGTTTAAGTGATTTTTATGACCGATTATCGATATTACGAATAAAAAACTAAATATGCAGAAAGTTTTGAAAAAAGTAAGATAATTATGCGATATCATTAAAATTTTATATGAAAATATAAATTTATACATTAAAAATGAGTACAAAGCAAATAAATATAATTAAAATCTTCTTTTTATAACATTATATTACATATTAAAGCATATGATTTGAAAAATTCTCACATTAGCGGGTCGGGTTCAGGTTCGGCGGGTTTGACCCATTTTCACGGGTAATTTTGGGTTCGGTCAACTTCGGGTTCGGTTAGCAAACTTTTGTTCAAAACCCAGTATTTTCGGATCGAGTCTCAGGTCAAAAACAGGTCGGATCATTTTTTGTCAGGTTTAAGTAGGTGGTAAGATTAATTGATGTGAGGTATGTGTTCTATAGGTATGTAACTTTTGTCATTTTTTAAGGAAAAATTATCTCAAATAATCCCATCTTTTCGCGTTCTTTTAAAAATAATCTCACAATTCCCTGGCACTGGAAATAATCGGACGTTTCCGCATTTGTGCAAGTTTTAGGTCGCGTTAAAAAACTAACGGCCATTTAACGGAATTTTTACAAAAACCCTATTTTTCGAAAATAAATGAAAGGTGAGATTATTTTATACAAATTTAGTTTTTACTTTTTTATTTTAAGTTTATAATTAATATTTTTAAAAATGTAATAGTACACTCTTGTTAAAGATTTGTCTCATGATTTACAAATTTTGTTTTCTGTTCTGAAAGATATAAAATTGAATTATCAAAAATAATTCCGAGTATCGATCAAGAAAGAAATTGCAATATAAAAAGATTGTGGTGAGTTATAAAATTTATTAGTGTCATTCCGGAGAAAAAAATATTGTGCCATTTTCACAACTTTTGAAATACTATTTTGGAGAAAAATTTGTATTGAATTATCAAATAAAATCACAAATTAGGTAGTTCCCTTTTAGAAAAATAATATAGGCAATAGAAGATTATCAAAAAATGAAATCCCCATCAATAGAACTAAAAAACCTAAAAAGTCTAAAATAGCAAAGCTATTGCTTCTTTTACTTTCGTAGGACCGCACCCTAATTTTCTGCCTTAGATCCAATTATTCTTAGACTTTTTTCAATGTCCTCGATGTTTGATCAGCCGAAAATCCAACCATGGATGAAGTGAATTGGCAATGACCGGCACCAGTTTTTGGATGATTTTGAAGTGATTCAGCATCAATTTATGCCAGCAGAGTACGGTCACCATCGTCGATGCCCGATGGTAGTGGCAGATGAAGTGAAAGTGATTCCTATCAACTATATTGAAATTTAGAATTCTCTACCGGCCTCTCCCTCGCTATCCGCTCCACCTTTGTCTCCTCTGCTTCCACCGGGAGGCAGTGTGGCGCTGTAGCGGTGGAGGGTGGCAGTGTGGCGGCAGAAGGTGGTAGTGTGGTGGCAGAGGGAGGTAATGTGGAAGCATTGCTGGTTGTGGTGATGATGGCAGTGTGGCGGCAAAGGGTGCGTGGTTGTGTGACGTTGGTAGTCGTTCTGTGGCGGAAGCATTGGAGGCAGTGTGGCGACGACGTGGTGGTAGTGTGGCGATGGAGGTGACAGCGTGACAATGGAGATGGTTGTGTTGTGGAGGAGTTTTGCAGTGTGGCGGTACAGGTTCGTACAATCTAGTGATGATGATGGCAGTGTGGTGGTGGTTGTGGAGGTGATAGTGGCAGGGTTGCAGTGGGCCGGTGGCGGATTCGATGGAAGTGTAGTGACGACAACGACAGTGTGGTAGTGGCGCACAAAGAGATATGTGGTGGTGGTGGTGGTGGGCGGC